CTCAGATCCTCTTGGACTTCAAGGAAAGAAACACATCTCTTACCTTAAGTGGTTATCTCTTGGTATTATAATGGCAGGGTGATTTTTGTTTTCTTATGAATGTTTGGAGTGTGCAAGTATGTGTGTGTGTGTATGTGTGTGTGTGTGTGTGTGTGTGTGTGTGATACTGATGGCTTGAACTCAGAGCCTCAAGCCTCAGCTTTTTCTAGCTGGGCTGGATGCAAGCCATGATTCTCAGATCTGAGCTTCCTAATTAGGTAAGATTACAGGAATGAACCACTAGCCCTAAATTTCTGAATTAAAAAAAATTTCTCGTTGTGACTCTGTACTATCATAATCAGAAAAAAATATTTAAGTAACTATAATAAAGGGAATAAAATTAAACATCAGTGGAATGCTACATCCCCAGATTCCTTTAATCAGGCTGTGCTTGAACTTTTTTTTTGCCAGTCCTGGGGCTTGAACTCAGGGCTTAGGTGCTGTTCCTGAGCTTCTTTTGCTCAAGGCTACTCCCTTGAGCCACAGCACCATTTCTGGCTTTTTCTGTGTATGTGGTACTGAGGAATTGAACCCAGGGCTTCATGCATGCTAAGTGAGCACTCTACCACGGAGCCACCTCCAAGCCCCCTTTTTATTTTTGCAGTACAGAATTTGAACTCAGCTTCATACTTAATAAGTCAAACACTTAAGCCATTCCTCCAGCACTTCTCCCTCTGATTATTTTTTGGTCTCTTGCTCTCTTTTTTTTCTTGATCCCAACCTATGTTTCCCACCATAGCTGGACTAACCCTACCTCACCTAGTTATTTGTTCAAATGGGATCTTGGAAACTTTTTGCCTGAGCTGATCTCAAATTGAGATCCTTCCAACAACCCCTTCCTTTCAAGTAGCTAGAATTACAAGTCTGAGCCACCTGCACCAAGCAGATAAAATATATTTTTTCTTTTGGTGGTATGAGGGTTTGAATTCAGGATCATATGCTTACAAAGCAGGTGCTTTACCATTGAGTCATGACTCCAGCCTCCTTTGTACTAATTACTTGAACTTAGGGCTTTGCTCTCTCATTTGTCTTTTTCACTCAAGACTAACACTCTACCATTTGAGCCACACTTCCACTTCTGGATCTTTTCAGGCTAACCGATAAGAGTCTCACTGGTTTTAATCACAATTCTCAGATCTCAGCCTCCTGAGTAGCTAGGACTACAGGCATGAGCCACCAGCACTCACAGACAGGAGGACAGACCCTATCTCAGACCAGGTAGCCAAGTGTGCCTGACCATGATCTGCCTATTTTAGGCTTTCTGTGATATATGTACTGCCACACACAGTTTCTTTCTGTTGAGATGGAGATTCTTCTGCCTGGGTTGGCCTGGAATTACCATCCTCCCCATCTCAGCCTCCCCTGTTACTTAAGGTGACAGGCATGTACCAGCTTGCACAGCTGGTAATCAATTATTATTATTATTATTATTATTTTTGGTCAGTCATGGGGCTTGAACTCTGGGCCTGGGTGCTCTCCTTGAGCTGAAGAGCTTTACCATTGAGCCACAGCACCACTGCCAACTGTTAATCAAGTCTTAAAAATTAGAAGTGCTATTCTGATTCTGTTTATAGATCATACTTTCCCAGTACATGTTTATGAAATATATTGAATTGAACAAAAAATAACATGATTGTGACTTGATGGCTATTAAATCCTGTGTCAAATTTCTTCATGGTGTGCTTCATCAATGTTTGTTAAGCCTCATGCCATTTTAACTAAAAAAAAGCTCCTTCATGATGGAGTTCTCGGCAGAAAAAAAAATGTTGGCAGATGGATCAACTATGTTCTGTTTATCAGTCTTCTTTCTCTTAGAGGAAGAGTGTGTGTGTGTGTGTGTGTGTGTGTACACTAGGTTCTTGCTTTGATTCTTAATCTAAAGTTACAAAGTTTGGACTAGCATATCGTGAACAATTTAATATTACTTTGTAGGGGAAGAGGAGAATGACCATACATGTGATAGGAAATCACACACCTATTCAACTTACTTGTTAAACATTTCTATAGTGTTCACTGAATTCCAAATGCCTGCTTCAAGTATTTTCAAAGCTTTGTTAATTAGCCGCAAAACCTTTTGGAGTTGACACTATTAGCTGAATGTCATAAAAGGGGAAACTGAGGTATTCCAAAACTTGCTCAGTGTCACTTTTTTTGTTGTTGTTGGTCATGGGGCTTGAACTCTGGGTATGGGTGCTGTCCCTAAGCTCTTCAGCTCAAAGCTAGCACTCTACCCTTGAACCACAGAGCCACTTCCAGTTTCTGGTGGTTTATTGGAGGTAAGAGTCTCATTGACCTTCCTGTCCAGGCTGGCTTTGAGCTGCAATCCTCAGATCTCAGCTTCCTAAGTAGCTAGGATTACAGGTGTGAGCCACTGGTGCCCGGCTTAGTATCACTTCTTTACTGCTTTAGAGGGCTGTAGTTTGAACCCAGCTCATCAGGCTCCACAGTCCTATGCTCATAATATCTGTAATTTAAATTGAATTGAATTGACCATCCCTGGGCTCTATGCTACTCTGATCTAACGAAAGTCTGGAAGAGTGCCTTTGCGGATTAGCTCCAGGTAGGCAATGCTCCATTCCTTCTGGTGATTTTTTAACAAGAAACATCTGTTCAGTGTTCGGAATCTATACCAAATGCCTTTTGAATTTGGATGGACTTAGAAGATAAAGAATGTTTATTCCAGATGCAGTTGATTAGCTCTCTGTATAAAGTTTAGAACATGAGTATTTCATGTCTATACTGTTTACAGTTCATCACATTTGATCCTCAAACCCCCCAATTTGAGGGAGGCAGGGCAAATATAAGTAATTTTTTTCCAGATGATGACATTGAGGCTCAGAAATGTTAAGTGATTTTACAAAAATCTTATATATGGAGAAACAAGAGTCGGTGCTCTATCCAGTTCTTTGGACTCCCAAACCTCTATATTAAACTCCATTCTTGCAATATGAACTTTGCTATTACCTTGGCAACAATGTAGAACACTTAGTGCCTGGAAACCATGATACTGCCTTCTCTGTGTACCAGAGGGTTTAACTAGGTCGTTTTAATCCACCCCTGTGTCAAGTTCCTTTCATTGTGTGCTTCATCTTAAGGTTTGGTAAGCTTAGTCCTTTGTTACCAAAAGCTTATTCATGATGGCCTCTTGGCAGAGAGATCAGGTATGCTGTCCTTTCTCGTCCTGGCCCAGCCTTGGTTTCCTTTTGTCCTAAGAAGTAGGTATGAAACAAAAAGCCTCAGAGACAACAGTGAAAACTTTCTTCCCTATACTTAGACTTTTTTTTTGAGGGGGGGGTCCGGTCGTGGGGCCTGAACTCTGGGCCTGGGTGCTGTCCCTCAGCTCTTCAGCTCAAGGCTAGCACTCTACCACTTGCACCACAGCACCACTTCTGGCTTTTTTCTTTTTGCTTATGTGGTGCTGAGGAATCAAACCCAGGGCCTCATGCATGCAAGGCAAGCGCTCTACCACTGAGCC